CTGAGTTACTGACGGCAGAGAGCCTGTAAGGGAGTAAGATATCCTGGAGGGAAGGTCAGCTCTCCGCCATTTAAAGATTTAAAAGGAAATGGTTTTAAATCTCCATACACATCATCATGGCTTTTTTTTTTTTTTTTTTCTGGGTGATTTGCTTGTAGTAGGCCTTTTTTACTAGCTCTTCCTGCATAAATTTTTAATGAATTTTTACCTATAACACATATGGGAAATGCATGCCCTACTTTGTCATTAGCGTTCAGTTTTGTGTATAAAGCAGAAATGCCAAGTTTTCGTGTTGTCACATGTGAATACGTCTTTAGTGTTCCTCAGTACTTCAAGATGTTAGTTATATGTATATTTTCACTCGCTAATTCCATGGTTGTTGCTAGAGTTTTCCTGCCTGGCCCACAGTCAGGACAAATCTCTCTCTCACCCGCCAGTCCCAAGCCGCTCAAACCCGATCAAATAAACACAGAGACTTATATTGGTTTCAAACTGTATGGCCGTGGCAGGCTTCTTGCTAATTGTTCTTACAGCTTAAATTAATCCATTTCTATTAATCTATACCTTGCCACGTGGCTTGTGGCTTACCGGTACTTTACATCTTCCTTATCCTGATGGCGGCTGGCAGTGTCTCCCCTACTCAGCCTTCCACTTCCCAGCTCTATTCTCCTCCTTGTCCCGCCTATACTTCCTGCCTGGCCACGGGCCAATCAGTGATTTATTTATTGACCAATCAGAGCAACACATTTGACATACAGACCATCCCACAGCACATGGTTTCAGGTTTTATTTTATTTTTTACAATCAATTCTCAGTCTAATTGGAATTTCTTTTGACATGAAACAATAGTTTTTATCCAGATGTGTTAGGGTCACATGAAGAACAAATCGTGCCTAGAGTAATTGAGACTCTCTGGGGTAGGTTATGACCTCTGTAGTTCTTAGAATTTTACAGGTGGTTCATGATGTAAAACCAGAGGGGAGAACCACTCTATAGAGTCAGGAAGAGTCTAACCCTTTCCCAGATTGATCCGATTCACCTTGCAAACACATGGACATGAAAATAGTAGTGATGCCGGGCGGTGGTGGCGCACGCCTTTAATCCCAGCACTCGGGAGGCAGAGCCAGGCGGATCTCTGTGAGTTCGAGGCCAGCCTGGTCTCCAAAGCGAGTTCCAGGAAAGGCGCAAAGCTACACAGAGAAACCCTGTCTCGAAAAACCAAAAAAAAAAAAAAGAAAAGAAAATAGTAGTGATAAAGTGAGAAGAAGGGTGTGTGTGTGGATATACACTTTATACATCTCAACACTCTAATTCCATCTTTATGATCCTATGTAGTGTTATTCAAAAGATGGACAAATACACTTAAATCTTAGTAATACCTTAAGTAAATAAAATTTCAAAACCTTAAATTAAATAAAACCTTAATAATACCTCAGGGTGGTAGAATGTTTTAAATTTGTTTTTATTTTTAATTATGTATAGGAGTGAAGGTGCCTCCCAGAGAAGGCAGAAGAGGGTGTTGAACCCCTGGAACTAGAGTTGCTGGCAGGGATGAGCCGCCGGCCACAGGTGCTGGACAAGGCTCCCCAAGAGCGGCGACGCATGACTTGGACCACTGAGCTGTCACTCCAGTCCCAGGAAGGTAAACTGCAAACATCCTTATCCATCCTTCTCTGTACTTCCCAAATCCCTTAACAAGAGCCATCTCTTACTCTTTGAGAGAAAATCAGTTGCAGAAAACGTTAACTTTTAAACACAAAGATTAACTTCTAGTCAGAAAGCTACGTGGACAAGGGAGCACCAAGTGTTTGCCCTGTGCTCATGTGTCAAGACTGAGCGTGCTCCCCGCCAGAGCGCAGGACTAGGCGAGGACATACAGACCTATAAACCTGTAGTTCGGTGCTTTCGGCTTGTGTTTTATAAATAAGCATTTATTTATTTTTAAAAGATTAGTTACATATATATTAATTTAAATTATAGCTGATTTCAAGTTTACTAGAGTTTTCTTTTTACTGTAACTTATCTCTGAGGGGGCAAAAAAAAAAAAAAAAAACAGTTTGGAGAAGGTTGGTTGGAAAATTCACCCATGTAATCCAGCAGTTATTTCGTTGGCAGACAAGGAAATCACAGCAGCCAGTACGGTGTTACCTTAACCTCTCACCTCACACTCCCTGATTCACAGAGGAAGTCAGGTTAGTGGTCCTGAGGACAGGCGGACTCCTGAAGGAGGTGAGAGCCCAGGGTATGTCTTCCCAGTCAACAGGACTGGGGGCCATTAGTTTCGCCCGTGCCTGCGCTGTTCCGGATAGCGAGCGGTTTCACCACACCAAACTGAACCTCAGATTCCATTGCTTGCAAGATGCACTGTTAACTTTACTACAATAGAAAAAGTACTGCCAATCAAATTATGACAAAAGGCTTCCCAAACACAATGGGCAATAAAGGTATCCAATTACAGAGATTTTAAATTTTGAAAAATATGTGCACCTTGGAATCAGTGAAACCTAGGTTCCTTTCTTATGAACTGTGAACACAGAATACAGCAGTCTACTTGTCCAATATATCTAGAGATAAAAACTTTCACATCTAGATTGCTCTACACCATGCCAAGCATTAAATTATGAATGTTATAGCAAATTAGGAGGAAACACTCTGTGTGCTAATTTGCTTAGAGACTTATTTGGTCCACAGGACAGAGACTGTTCTGCTGGAACCAGTTTGAGAAGTACCAGAGGCCACATCTTCTTGAAAAGGCAGGGGACCCTAGGATGATCTGTGTGGAGTTGTGGGCTCCTCCCAAAGCCAGTGCAACTTCCTACAGCGGGTGACTGTTCCTCTGCCAAAGATTTTGACTACATGGGTGACTCAAGGCCTAGAACCTTCCAAAGTGCTAGCACACAGTGAGGGGAGGGGACATTTTGTCTTAAACACTTGTATCTACACCAGAGCAGACCAGCAAGATTACTGAGTCAGATCTCAGGTCAGAAACAGAGTTTTAAAGATTATCTGAAACAATTCTGTTGATGAGGTCTCGTACGTAAGGTGTCAGAGGTAAATAATTTGCTGGTGGTCCTACTCAGTCTAAAATCTGTCTCTGTTCATATTCTTGTCATTCAGGGTCAAGGGTGATGCTGATGAAGTCACTGTAATAACTGTACTAAATTTAATTATGTGCCTATTTGTACATATTTGTTTTATGTTTATTTTGGGGAAATTAAGGAACAGCAGTGACAACTTTCTCATTTATAGAATTCAAGGACGTGACTAAACACATATTATCTAGCGCAATTGTGTCAGCATCCTCAAAAGGAAATGAATTAAATAGTTGAAGCGCTTTACCTGACACCACACAGCTAGGTGGAGGACTGGGGAGTGCGTCTCACATGTCATTCTGATCCCTTTTCGCTGCTTCATTCCATCTGCTTATCCCGATGAAACAAACTTCAGGTGAAACGTTCTGTGCTGCCTAGAAGACAACTGCTCTCAGAGACTGACAGATTTCCTAGAAGACTCCTGGACGTTTGGAGCAAGGGGGCAGCCGCTGCTTGGTGGGAATCCTGCCTGGTACCGCTGTGCCGCATTTGTGTGGAGAAGGAAAAATGGGCAGGTATATTTCTTGGTCTCTATATGGTTGATGTTGGCAACACATCCTCTTTCTCAGCAACTAAACTGTCAATTCATTCATATTAAATATACCTTCATCAAAGAGTATTTTTTTAAAAGAAAATTCTCACTTTACATTTTATTACACCTTTAAGTTGTATATCTAGCCATCTTATTCCTTTTTTTTTGGTTTGTTTGTTTTTGTATTTTCAAGACAGGGTTTCTCTGTGTAACTGCCCTGGCTGTCCTAGAATTCAACAGTGTGTTATCAGTAAGAGCTGGAAAATGCTCCCTGCGAAACTGAACGTAATGTTAGTGTGGAGCGCTCTTGCCGTAGTGTTTTCTCCCTCACACAAAACGAGTTTTAAATAAATTTACAAAACTCAAATCAAAAGCTTTCTTTGCATTTTCAAAACCACAAAGACTGTAAATTATAGTTATACTTAAACTATAGTAATGAGGATCACATAGTTTAGTGTAAAGACACTAAACAGACAAATGGAAATGAGACAGAATATAGAGCTACGACGCTGAATGCCACTTACACAGTCAATGACTTTACAGCAAAACTGCCAAGGCAATTAAATGGGGGAAAGTTTTTGCAACAAATGACATTGGATGATGGGACAAATGTATGGGAAAATAATAAACTTTGATGTTGAGCTCATGAAACATTCAAAAAAATTAATATGAGAAGAATAATAGGCATAAGGCACAAAAGTTAAGACTGCAAAACTTCTCAGAGAAAATATTAAGACATTTGGGTAGGGAGAAAAATTCCAGATGTGGAAAACAGGTAGCATCAGAAAATATTTCAAATAGGTGTCATTGTAATGAAGACTCTGCTCAGAGGTATGTGACAAGATACACAGTGAGTCACACCCTGGCAGAAGACACTCATAATGCAGAGAGTCGTAGAAGAGTTTTAACTGCAGTAGATAAGTAAAGTGTAGAAATAAATTAGAAAAAAACAACCTCGCAACCTGATTTACAAAAGGGGCCAAAAGTCTTGAACTGACACCTCCTGAAAAGCCAGAAAATGAGACACTGAAAAGCACAGGAAGCTGGGAAAGAGAGGGGTTGGAGAAGGGAAAGTATACAGATGAAAATATTTGTATATATTATGAAATTTTCAAACAGAAAACTGTTTTTAACTTTTTACTAAAGAAGCTGAGAGACAGTAGTTTTCAAATGGCAGAACTGAAAATCAACTGGAACTCCCACAGTTGCTGTTTGGATGATTGGATGTAGAATGACACACACACTTTGGGAACGTTATTGGCACTTCCTTATCGAGTTGAAGATGCACTGACCCTAAGACCTAGCAATTCTACTCCTATGTCCTACGTAAGTGGGATGGAAAGAAAACAGACACCCATAAAAACATTTGCTGGAGCAAATGTTCATAGCTGCTTTATTCCCAATAATCAAAACCCAGGTACAAACCAAGTTTCCACACAGAGAAGAAGGAATGAGCAAATCATAGTAACATAAAAATAATCCCAGCTGTAACAAGGAATGAGGGAAGCAGTATGGACGAGTCACAGGGTCATGTTGAGCAGAAAGTCCGTATTTCACGTGAAAGAACATTCTGTGGTCGTGTGAGGCTTTAGAACCAGCAAAGCTAAGCTAGAGCAAAAGGAATGTGGGCAGTGAGGACTGATTAGGAAGAAACACATGGGAACTCTCTGGGGTGCTGGAAACAGTCTTGACTGGGTATTGGTTATGTGGATTTATACACTTATCAAAATCCATTGAATTGTATATTTACAATCTATGCATTCTACTAGAACTATAATGTAAAGGTATTTAAATGCTGCTGTAATTGCAGTTGTGAAGACAGCTAGCAGATGAAGCTGTCTGAGGTAAGCAAGGAAGGTGCAGAGCAGAATCCGGATCAGAATCCGGATCAGACTGCAGTGGAATGCAACTGTGTAGACAGTCCAGAGAGGAGCTGGAACGGGTGTTATTCCTTCCTGTTAGTGTAGCTGGCTTCAACTGCTGTAGAAATCTGAGAAGAAAATAAACAGAAACAACATGAAGTTGAAGTTGATTGCATAACTAAATTTGAAAGGTAGGGCATAGGGATTTAAAAAAAAAAAAAAGCCCAAGTATATTTCTTAAAAACAGAAGTGTGAAAGGGGACATGATGCGGAATTATGCAGGACAGCTCAACACAATAGGAAGAATGATGCAGGCTAGACTTTTAGAAGTTAGTGGTTGGAAGTGCTCTTGCCTGCTTACGGTCAATCCCAGTAGCCCTGTGCCCACTGAAGCACCGGAAAGGACTCTTGCCAGTGACATTCGATCTTACTGTGTCCTTTAAAGTTGACACAGCACACAGTACAATGCTAACTAACCACATGTGGCATTTCGTAGACAGTAGCCAGTTACCGTGGTGAGTTTCTGCAACGTCCTTCTCCACTGATGAGGCTGTATTCCTGTCTCCTATGTCTAAGCAGCAGCAGAGGTGGAGATGAGAAGGAAAGAGAGAGGAAACAGAGGCTCTGAAAGTTCTGAAAGATGAAGGAGAAACATGGAGTCAAGCAATGTTTAGGTAAGTGTCAAAGGAACTCTGCCCAAAGCTTCCCGGAAGGCAGCAGAGAGAGACTGCTGTGTCAGGTATGCACGCGGGGCTTATGGGGGACGTGGAGCTATCAGGATTGTGAAGAGTAGGCAAGGTCTAGGAGGTCCACCCCGGAAGGACTGACATTCTGGGAAAAGCAAATGGCCTGTGCAAAGCATAGAGGTCTGAGTCGGGTGGAGTGGGGCCAGAGAAGCGTCGGAGTTGGACAGCACCAGAAGCTGGTTGGCAAGCTGAGCAGTGGATGGTCACATAGTGCTGGACATCAGACTGAGGATTGGTTTTCCCCACAAATGTGTTGGGAGGAAGGGGACAGGAGAGTTTTCTACGGAGATGGCCAGCCTCAGATTCAGCTTTTCGTTGCTGAGGTTAAGTCCATTGGCAAAGACCCTGGACTAGGCCTCAGGCCAGAAGCAGCTCAGGAGGCCTAACAATGTAACCTGGCAGTGTAGTTGGCCATGCATGTTGGTGGACATGGAACGGGCAAAGAGGATTCCCAAGACTTCTGCTTACTTCTGAGAGCTGAGCTGGATGGCTATTTCTTTTCCCTTGTTGTTATTGTTATTTCAAACGGTGGTGGCTTAAAACTGTCCCAGCGTATGTGGGTGGAGAGTCCAAACCCACACTCAGGTTCTCAGTGGAGCTGTGTTCTCAGTGGAGGAGTCCTTCAGTGTGTTCAGTGGCTGGTGGCACTGAGTTCCTTGCTGTCCTGGGACTAAGCTCTCTTGTTGTCTCTTGTGATCAGCCACAGACTGTTCTGATCTCAGATCCTTGCCCCAGACCCTCTCAAAGGCCTCCCCGAACACAATACAAAACTTCAGAGCCAGCAGGGGCGTCCGTGACCTCTGGATCCTCTTTAAGCGCCTCACCTGATTAGATTAGGTTCACTCAGCTTCACCTCCCTTTCGATTAACTCAAGGTCAACCACTGGGGACTCCACGTGTGCAAAACCCCTACATCAAGCTGAGTGCCGTCTGGAATTCTCAAGTCCTGTCCTCACTCATTAGGGGACATCTCAGAATTCTGCCTGTCACGGATATAGAACAGAAAGAAACAGGAAGAGAGACAATCTCCCTGGGGTGAAACACTGGATTTGATTGTTGAGGTACTGAGTTTCAAGTACCGGTGGTTGTCACCCGAGTGGAGCACTGTATTTGATGACTTTCCCCAGAGCACATGTGAGCTTTGACACACATTCCATGTCATTACAAATACTGAAGAATCATTTTCCTGGGCTGAGGACATAACTCAGAGTTCTTGTGTAGCATTCGTGAGGCCCTGGGTTCAGTCCCAAGTGCTGCAAGAAACAAAAGAGAATCTCCCTGTTAACCACGCCTGCCCGTTTGAATATAAGCAAGCAGAGATTCCTCCCAACTGTTTCTGCATAACTGCAGATTCAACACGCAAATTTCCACTTTGTGTTTACTCTTCTGTGCATTCTTGTGTTTATGTGTAAACAAAAATGCTTTGAAATAATATTAATTAGTTCCCATTATATATTTGCTTCCCTTTGGTAGGAGATGGTCCTGGTGAAAAATGTGTGTAATGCTACTTTTATTTTTTCTTGTTTTAATCAACAATATGTATTTATTTTTCAATGCTTCCTAGGATCCCTGGCTTCAGGAAACTAAACCACATCCTTTCTTGTAACTTTGGACTCTGAGGAGCACCTTCATAATGACACATTATTATGTAGTTCTCCAGAGTGTGACCTCAAACAGTAAATGGCGGTCAGTGTGATGTCTGCCACGACACAGCTGATGTCCATGGACATTGTCACGATTCGCTTGGACAGCATGTGAGCTGGCATTTTCACAGTTGCCACACAAAGGATAAACAGTTGCTAGCTGAGCGTAGGCACTGCCTGGGGCCTGCTGGAGCTTTCTTCAGCTTCGAAAACATCACTGAACAACATGGTGGATGGCTTCATTAACAGCCTGTTTGAACAGCATTTTCACACTTGGAGGAGGTAAAAATGCTCTCAAGAGTCTGTTTAGGTCTGCTGGTGCATACTGCATCCCAGCTGGAGAGAGCACACGGGGAAACACAGCACAAACAACTCTTCCCTGAACGGTCTGGACCTTGTGTTCCGTTGGGATGTGTGTCTGGAGAGGCCTGGGCTATGCATCCCAGCACAGTTTTGCTGTTGGCAGTCAATTTACTATGGAAAAACAACTGAATTCTCTCTCACAGTCTCAGATTATAACACACTCAGGTTATTGAATTAGATCAGGATTTACTTATTAAATACCTACTTTTAGGATTTAAAAACCCTTCTTTCTAAAAGGCCCCAACTTTACATGGGATGTAAAATTAAAAGGTTTACAAATAAGTGTGTTTGGCTGTGTTGTAGCTTAAGTGATGAGTTAAAAACAATCTTTGAAGTGTATCAGCCCTTACATGTTCTCAAGATCTTGAGGATCAGGCCCTTCATTTGCATTTTTGTATTTTCTTTGGCTCAAAATAGATTTGATTAAAAAACAAAATTTGGCAGAAGATTAATCCATACTAGGATTTTATTGCTTCTGTTATTTAAAAAACAACAATGTTACGCTTTGAGGTGTGATTAACTCATAAGCACAGCAGCTACTTTTTAGATATGTCTCATTTCACTTTCTTTTGTATCCGCCCACTGGCTTCCACATTTGTGCTGTGTGTGTCAGAGTGAGAGCTTTAATCTACTCTCTTCACATCTACCAGGAAGCGCAATTTAGCACCATTTCCCTTTGCCAGCGTGTGACAAGCTAGGCTTTGTAGTTACTGTGTGTGGGGTACAGTGTGTTGCAAAAGCCAGTCTGTTTGCCTAAAAGTGCACACAATAGACGTGAAAACTTCGAGCAGCGTACAGTTAGGGTTGAGTTACCCACCCTATCTCAGGAACGTCTGCTGTGGGGGGTGGATTTTTCTGTACTTGACTTGGATTGCTCCTTTTGTTTCCTATGACATTTTGACTAATATTTTCTGAATACAAGCTGAGAGTTGAACAAGGCTCATGACTGGAAGGTAAGTTTCACTCAGATATATGGTCTCAGTTAGATATGTGCTTCAAACACAATTATAGTAAACACACAGAATGGGTCTGAAGAAGCTGTTCCATCCTTATCTGTGTCTGTGAGTACTACAATAACATAGCTCTCTACATGGCCTTCCATCCTTTATCTGTATTATGTGTGTGTACGTATGTGACCTATGCTTCTGCACATTCACTTGGTAGATATGTAGACACATATATAAACATGATAAAAGACAGCTACAGCATACCTAAGCTTATGCCTAATTCATGCATCTTTAAATCAATTTGCTTATCTTCATGGAAAGACCCATTAACCTTTTACATCTCAAGAACTAATCCCATGGCCCAGCTTCTGGCGTAACTGGACAAGTCATATATCTATGTGATTTACTTTTTGCCACTGTGTGAGTAAACTAGGAGTCATTTAACAGTCTTTCGTCCGTGAATACTGGCCGTTCTCATGTACACCTAAAAACAGTTTTCAAAGATAAACATTGTAGTGGGGGGAGGCTGCTGGTCACAGACAATGTGCATATTCCACTTAACAAAGTGATCCAATTCTTTTCTGCAGTAGTTCTACTAAACCACATGGCAACTGGTAGTTCATATTTTCAGTACTTTGAAATTATGCTTCATATTCTCCCATAGAGAATGGACATGCCTGGAAGGAGATTGCTGCATCTTCTCACTTGTTCTCAGTGCTCTCCAGGGCTGTCAGTTCTGCTCACACATGCCAGTAGATGACGCTTGTCCAGTAATGTTATCCACCTAGCTCGCTGATAGTGTGTGTGTGTGTGTGTGTGTGTGTGTGTGTGTGCGCGCGCGCGCGCGCGCGTGTGTGCATGTGTGTGCGCGTGTGTGTATCTGTGTGCATATGTGTGTGTGCGTGTGTATATGTGTGTGTGATCATGTGTGTATGTGTATCTTCCCTCCTCAGTAGATGACTGTGGGGACAGGGAGGTAAGTGTGATTATTTTGGCCTACCCAGTGCCTGCATCTGCTTCACTTCTGGCAACACTGCCTTGCTCTCTCCTTCATGTATCTCCCACCACGTCCTCAGTCCCTGCAGCCGCCCACCCCTCCCCCTGCAGCCGCCCACCCCGCCACCAGAGGTGTCATGCTTCCCGGCCCTGGCTCTATCTGGATACAGGCTGGCCAGGAGGGATGAAGGCTGTGCCCAGAGCATTGAGACAGTTTTGCAGCTTCTGTGAGAAGGTCATCAGGCAACTACATGGACACAAGCTGCCTGACATTAGACACGACACAGAAGAAAGGACCGCCAAAGGGAGGCAGAGACTGTTTCTGGATTCATCTTTGTCAGGTACAGCTAAACCGCCATGGCTTTTCACCCACGAAAGCTAATGGAACTCCCTGTCTCAACTTCCAGTTCTGACTAACTTAAGAATTATCTATTGTTCACCCATGCCAAGATTAACAAAGGGACAGTAAACGAGGTCCATGAATGCTTGCTTCGATTTGTGTATGAATTACCCTGATGATAGACAATTTCGGTGTTAGCCTCTAATTACCTTTAATATATAACAAATTAATAAGCAATAAATTTTCAAACTTCCTCAGAAGAAGTTAGTAAGCATTTTCATTCAGTGTGTTAAGAATATTAAACCCACACTCTCAACTCTGGTACTTGTCATTGTTAAAGAATATAGTTAAGAAATGGGTCCTATTTTGGATGGTTTGTTACATTATCTAATAAAAAAGTCATAGCTGGGAAAATCCTTAAGATCCTAAAATAAACAGCACACTCTAGTGCCATGTATATAGCTCATAAAAAGTTTGTGCATGTGTGTGTGGTGTGTGTGTCCTAAGAAGAGTCTGGACTAAGATGTCCACATGTCAGTCAAATAACAAAGAGGGAAGGCTGGAATGGGACCCAGTTTTCAGGACAAAAACCTTATATATTTTGGAACAGCCCCATTGAAAAATACCAGGCAAGGAGTGAGGAGCTAGAAATGGGCATTAATCCACAGGTCTGGCAGCTTAAGACTCATGAACATCATAGCATCCCCGCTGCCTCAGGAAGTACCTGTACATGCCACATGTAAGCCCTCTTCCTTCAAAAAGAGAAGCTCTTGCTGTGGTGAGAAATGAGAGCTAATCCAGAGGAGGAAAACAACTCCCTCCCTAAATGATTCCCAGGGAAGACCTGTCCTTCCCCGGGATGGACCAGCTAAGCCAGCTTTTAGGATAAAGCCTTTTGGGAATAGACAAGATTGCCAGGAGGGGATGTCCTGTGATTAGGTAACTATTCCTGCCACTCACTTTAAATTAATAAATCAATAGATGGAGGCACAGGGTCTCCAAAAGTTACTTCTAGAAACAAAGGGGGAAAAAAGATTTTTGTAGACCTGGATGGAATATGAAAGGAGGAAAATGCAGCCAAGATCAACTGACATTAGAGTATAAATACTGGGGAGAGGAAATAGGCTGAAAAAATCTGCATGGAGGCTGAAGTGTCGAAATGCTGTCTATTCATGCACGTTGTGCATTGCTTTTTTATCATCATGCCCTGACATAACCTGCCTGTGGGTGAGGGTTGAGGGCTTTAGTGCTATTTTGCACTGTTGTTTTCTTTTTTTGTACAGGCACATATGGTGCATATTCTGCTTATCACATATTCTCCTGCTACAAGAAATCTTGATTCTGTCTCTACCTGGGCTATCAAAAGGCAACACTGGACAGGATCTTCCACGGCAGCACTAAGCTCCATTTCTAACTATTCTGGAAGAGGTCTCTGGGACACACTCAGGTCTCTCCTAGTCTTCATGTTCTCAGCTTGAAGCAGGCAGATGGCTTCACCAGTCCTCACCTACCTGGAGTGTAGGCCTGAGCCTGCATGCTGGCTAGTTCTACTCACCTGTAAGTCCCAAGCAAAAAAGCATTTCTCACTCTTTGTGTGTCAAAGAAAGGATTACACACTGGAATGACATTGATGAGCAGACATTTTCTTAGTGGTCACACTTGAGAAACATATAGAGTTTTTCAATCATTTAAAGGTAATTCTATCTGAAAGGACTGAAATAATCCAGTTTGGGCCAAACCTTCCTGAAAGGCAGAGACCATTACAACAATTGACTTTTCCCTTTAGAAACCAAATCCACTGCCGGAAATATTGAAAAGACAGGGCACGTCACCTTGCACCTCTGTTTGTGACTTCCAAGATGAAGATAGACCTGCCAGAAACTCAAGTTTATTATTCAGTCTAGAGAAGCACCCGCAGACGCAAAGCTGACTGTCTGGCAGACTCCAGGCGACTCATTCCCCAGCAGTGGCCACTGCCCCGGAGTGGGAAAGAGGGATTCCCTGAACACTCAGCTCAGTTCTGAATGGTTGGTCTTTGATTTTATCTGCTGCAAAGAACCTGTCGGCTAACCAAGCAGTCAGTTTCAGAAAGGAGCACTCAGAAACCACTGCGACAGGGAGTCAGGCCACTAGGGGGGATTGTTAAGCCATTTTGTGCTAAAAGAATGACTGTTAACTTTTTAAAATGACTGTAGTTATACAATTTTAAATAGTCATTAGTCAACTTTAAGGAGGAGGCTCAGAACCAGAATTCAATCTTTTTAAAGCAAACGCCTATCTCACCCAAAGCCACCAAATGCCTGTAAACACCCTTTCTTGTTTTAATTGCAAAGGGATTAATGTGTGCTTTGAAGTAAAGGCAGCTCCCACTACCTGCTTCTAGCAGCTTCCAGGCAGGTGCCGCCCAGAAGCCAGGCTCTGCCCTGACCATGTAGCTCATGGTGTATTTACAGAATCCACTGGTTATTCAGTCTTGAATTTGCCAACGTGGTTATCTAAATTCTCCTCAACTCAAAACCCAACGAGAAAACAGCAAAGAGTGATTCTGCCGTGATGATTACAAAGGGAAAGAGATCACAGGGGATTTAGGAAGCTAAAAAAAAAAAGAGCCTTTTTTTTTTGACAAAGAGGCAAATTAGATTTAAAAGGTGGTGGCTATGAAGTGTGTGTGTGTGTATGTGTGTGTGTGTGTGTGTGTGTGTGAGAGAGAGAGAGAGAGAGAGAGAGAGAGAGAGAGAGAGAGAGAGTGTTGTTTGGACAAAATGCCAACAGTTTTTCGAGCGGCTTCTCCAACAGATAAGTGATCTTGCTTGTGCTGTGTTCGTAATCAGCTTCAAATCCTGGGCCTGGTAGCTTCAAAGAGGCTCCTTGGAGGCTGCAGGAGGATAACGTACTTGGAACGGAGAAGAGAAGGAACTGGATGGCCATCCAAGGGGCTCACAATTGTTTCAGCCATCGAACATCTATATTTAATTTAAGCTTCATAATCCAGGATACTCTGATTTGGGTCCAAGCAAAAAATAAATAAATAAAAAGGATGGGGAAAGAAAGAAAAAAAAGAAAATTAAATAAGTATAATAGAGGAGTAAGGCGGGGCCAGCTGCTCTGGGCAAAGAAGGGCAATAAAGAGAATCTTTATAACTGCGGATGGTGGAATAGGCTTCTCCCCCTCCCTGCCAAGCAGAATGTCAAATTCTGTCCCCCTTTTTTTCCCTCTTAAAGCATGCTAAAAGGAAAATTCTTCACAGAATCTTAAAGAACTTTTTTTTAACACAACAGCTGCAAAAATCTATTTTCTAAACAAAGATTTATACATATTTATATGAGCTTAATCCAGATTTTTTTTAATAAATCATCCTCAGAACTGCAGAGGTAAACTATATGTAAATACCTCAAGTAATAGGCTTGTAGTGCAAATCACATCATTTTATCTTCAATTTTGCATTCGTTTTTCTGGCTTAAAGGTGCATCAGAGATATGCATTTTAGCATATTCAGAACACGGGGCGTGAAATTAAATGTTTGACAGAGTGAGAAAAATATACAGACTTTGGAGATGCCTTAAAAATAGTAATTTATGTAGATCTAGAGGAGTGAAATCATTTGCAATGGAGTGACCCTCTCTCCAGGAATTTTGTGCTCAGTGTTCTTCCCTAATCTCCCGCTGTATCTTCATTTTTCATTGAACTAGCCAGTTTTCTGCGGAGCCGTCTTGTAGATAAGGAGAGTGCTAAAGAAGAAGAAAGGACGCTCAGTGGGTCCGTTTCCATTGCACTTTTACCCAAGGCAATGGGCAGAATTTAACGGATTCCTTCCAACATATGTTTTTGCCAGATAAGTAAACAGTGTGTGTCGGAAATGAAAAAGCATTTGCAATTTAATGACATTACAGCTCTCAGCTTAGGCTGGCGTGCTGCGAGGCGAAAAGCAGAAAAAGAGAGGAGAGCAGAAAGAGAAAAAGAACAAAGTTCATCTTCGCTTTTGTGCATTTTTATCAAGGAGAATATTACTTCTTCCCCCCTTGTTCTCTCTTTCTCTTCTCGTCTTTTGGCTTTTTTGTCTCACTCATTTACATTTCCCCCCCTTTCCTGCCTCTCTGTTCTCTCTCACCTTTTTTCTTATATCGCCACCGACTCATTTTCCTCTTCTCTCCATTGTGTCTCCTTATTCATCTATTTGGGCCATTCAGTTTTGCCGTATGAGACGCTGTTTATCCCACAATGTATCTTTTTTCTGTGTTGTACTGTCACTGCTATGGCTCACAGTCAACAGGATTGTCGGAGGGATTAGAACGTTTCATTTCAAAGCACTACAAATCTGCTCTCTTGCCTTCTTGCCTGCTCCCAGCTCCGTGATACTTGTCATTTTACTCCACATCCATCGTAGTCTTTAGTTTCACCCCTAGACATCGGAGCAACCTGATGTCTAACCACTGATCCTCACTGTCTTTGCCTTGTACACGGATGCCTCAAAGCTCTAAAACCTTCACCTTAAAACTAGAGAGCCTTTCTCTAACTCCTAGTTGGGTTCAGACTGGTTCAGGGAACTGACCCTGGGTCCGAACTGTGTTTTCCTGCACAGGGACAGGGTGAACTGGAGTTAATGCTTACCCACATGCAACTATTGTGCTTGATGCCACTTTTCCTGTGAAACATCCTGTCAGAGTGACTACTGGACTATGTTTGTGCTTGAGTTTGTGATGGTGTGCTTGAATGCATGTATGTTTGTGGGGGTATATGATCCAGACAACGTGGTA